CTTAGTACAAAGATGCTCTAGGACAATGTACAAACCTAATTAGTTTGGGGTAAAAATCTGTTCATATTAATTCCCTAATAAGCATAATAATTCATAATTTTTTGGTTCTAATCACATTTCAATTAAACTTGGAGACATAGATTTTCTGTTACATTGCGCAGACCTCATTAGTTTTACACTCAAATCTGGTCATATTAATTTTCTGATTTGCATAATTAGTTTTCAGCTAAGTAATTTCGAATTATATTTAATGTGTTTCCAATACTCTCAGCACATGGGAGTTCTTTCTAAGCTTTCTTTGATTTAGATATTCATGAACTGAATTTCTTGCATAACTAATACATGATGGTACACATATGTCCCAGATTTAAATGTGTTTTACAAAATGGCATGATTTATGCATTATATTGCATCTGTTGATTCTTCACACTTTCTCAGATGTTCATGGACTGAATTTTCTTCTTTGTGCCAAAGTGATACATGATGGTGTCTGTACCTCCAGATTACATTATTTTTTTTTATTAGTTTCTAAAAAGTGACTGGATGATATATTTGACCCAACTTGCGCAGACTGATTCTGTTCAAATATTAGTAACACCAGTTGATTTACTGACGCTCATCTATTATTTTAAAAGATTTGTTACTGTAACATTTCTTTTATTGGGTACCAACACTCACTATGAACATGAACACATGCCTCAAATAACAGGGCTGTGTCTATACCTATAATAAATTATCAATGCTCTTGCATAACGTAAAACTGCACTTCTTATAGAGATGTGATTCAAATAAAGTAAATACAGTATTGTGTTATTTTCTGTGCAGTTACAAGCTTTGAAGGAGGCTGTTGTTCATCTCAAGAAACAAATACACAATCTTATAAAGAATGCTGATGTTAGTTTTGTGGAAGAACATCAAACAAGATTACAAGATTATAAGTATGAAATAAGGTAAATCACAAATATTGATATCTGACTACATTGTTTCTGAATAACAAAATGAGGAGAGAAATATGTAAATGAGATGCGTAATACATCAAACACAGAAAAAATTGGAATTTCTCATTCTGTATCAGCACTTGTTTGAATGTTCAAATTCCCCCTTATATGAGGTAAACTCAGTCATCAACTTTGTCAAATTCAAGGGTATTGACGTAACATTCAAACCCTTTTTTTTAGCTCCGCTGTCGACTCTGTCGAGTGGAGCTTATCATATGAGTGATTGTCCGGTGTCGTCCGTCGTCCGGCGTCCGTGTCAATGTTTTACTTTTTCGACTTCTTCTTGAAAACTACAAGCCTGAATGCTTTGATACTTAGTGTATATGTACCTTGGGTAGACCTCTCTCAGATTTGTTCATTCCATAATCATATCTTCAATTCTCTAATTTTGGTGAATATTTTTGTCATTTTTGGTGAAAGGTGATATTTTCGACTTCTTGTTAAAAACCGCAAGTCCAATTGCTTTGATATTACATATATAGGTACTACATGTGGACCTCTCTCAGATTTGTTCATTTCATGATCATACATGTATCTTCAATTCTCTAATTTTGGTGAATAATTTTGTCATTTTTGGTAAAAAGTGATATCTTCGACTTCTTGTTAAAAAACGCAAGTCCAATTGCTTTGATATTACATATGTAGGTACTACATGTGGACCTCTCTCAGATTTGTTCATTTTGTAATGATATCTTTAATTCTCTAATTTTGGTGAATGTTTTTGTCATTTTTGGTAAAAGGTGATATTTTCAACTTCTTGTTAAAAGCCGCAAGTCCAATTGCTTTGATATTACATATATAGGTACTACATGTGGACCTCTCTCAGATTTGTTCATTTTGTAATGATATCTTCAATTCTCTAATTTGGGTGAATATTTTTGTAATTTTTGGTAAAAAAGTGATATTTTCAACTTTTTGTTAAAAACCGCATGTCCAATTGCTTTGATTTTATATATATTGGTACTACATGTTGACCTCTTTCAGATTTGTTCATTTTGTAATGATATTTTTAATTCTCTAATTTTGGTGAATATTTTTGTCATTTTTGGTAAAAAGTGATATTTTCAACTTTTTGTTAAAAACCGCATGTCCAATTGCTTTGATATTATATATATAGGTACTACATGTGGACCTCTCTCAGATTTGTTCATTTTGTAATGATATTTTTAATTCTCTAATTTGGGTGAATATTTTTGTAATTTTTGGTAAAAAGTGATATTTTCAACTTTTTGTTAAAAACCGCATGTCCAATTGCTTTGATATTATATATATACATGTAGGTACTACATGTGGACCTCTCTCAGATTTGTTCATTTTGTAATGATATTTTCGTCAACTTCTCTAATTTTGGTGAATATTTTTGTCATTTTTGGTAAAAAGTGATATTTTCGACTTGTTGAAAACCATAAGTCCAATTTCTTTGATATTACATATATA